CTTAGAGTTTGTATGCTCTTGGAAGCCTACTTCCTCAGCGCAAGGTGCTGTGTGACCCCGTAACAACGACCACAATCATTTACTTCTCTGGCCCGCTTCAAAATGACGATTGCGGTTTTAATAAATCGCACATAACCGAGTAAATTGTTTTTATTGGATTAAAAGTGACAAGCTCTTATACTTGTCTCCCGACCACTAATTCTGACACTGATGAACGCTTTTCCCGCAAACTTCAATATCCCAGTCACGCCGATGACAAGAACCCCCGATAAAAAGGACATCCCACCTGCAATACGACTTCAGTGAGCAAACACGTAGCAGTCAATGGCAAGATGCCTGTGTCGGTGAAAGTTGCAACCGATGCCGTATTAGAAGGGGACAGCCAGCTTTTCGATTCTTAATTAAGTTCAATAGCTAATTTCATGTTTTGGAAAGCATAAATATTAGGTTAATTCTTATCTCTTCTCTGATTGGTTATTTTTAATTGGTGGCTCACCGTTATGCCCCGGATTTTGGAAATAAAATTCGCTCTCTTTGCGTCCAAATTTTAGAGCTTCTCATTCGTTTCTGCGTGCACGGGTACATCCTATGGAAGTTAATCGTCTAATTTAATCGTCCTTAAAATTAGGTGTAATATCGCTAAATATTGACTGAAAAACCTCATGGGATTCAAGTTGTGGAGAGTTTGAGCGCATGGTGCTCATCCGTACGTGTTGCTAGAGCAACAAAAATATATGCTCAGGTGCGCTAGACTGGGGTTTTTTCAATGGTGTGCTTACCGCTTTCTGCCAAGGTCAGGCTTCAAAGTTATCGGTAAATATTGAAAGCGTCATTTTGAAGCGGGCCAGAGAAGTACTTGATTAGGGAAGCTCATCGGTACCTCATAATCGACAGGAATCTTTTTGCGATATCCTCTATGATGTATACTTCTCACGTCTCTAGGTTCATATTTGCTGTTCTGCGTTCAATGATAGGAGACACTGAAAGGCAAATACATGAGCGTGACATTTACCAAAAATATATTACCACAGGTCATTTAATCGATTTGAAATTGGTTCCTACGCGGCGACAGAGCAGATGCCGCGGCTGCGAATCAGGTGCAGTAGATGCGTTTCCTCGCGGGCATGCTTTTTTTTTTTAAGAATAATGCTAAGATCTGTAGGGCCTCTTCAACCAATGCACGAGTACGTTATTGGTTCCTCGACCTAGATACCATGACTAACGATGCCCATTCGTGTATCGCACCTTCTCTCTCTTTGCGAACCTCTACAGTTTTGGCACGCGTAGAATTGAGAATAGTTCCAGTTAGATTGTTACTGTATTTTGTGGTTCATGAGCATGTATCCGAGGTACTAGATAGTTACAGGTAATAAACAAAGGGATCAGATCCTATCCCAGCGTTGTGTAGCCCTAGTTTTCTGACCAATCAGAGCACTGCAAAATAATCCTACTTGCTGCAAGAAAAAAAAAATCACTTTGCTGCTGCACACTAATATTTTAATTTTCTCGGGAATTACTTTAGCTCGAGAAAAAAAGAGAGTGATATTGTGTTTACTACGCAGTTTGTGTGTGGGCTGAGAGAGCGAGGAGAAACTTGCTTATTTTTGTCGGCCATTCGACCATCGCCGTGAGGCTAATTATTCATGTACATGTAAGCCTAGACAAGATTGCCGCCGGATCGTCGGAACCCCTCCACGGCTCTTTTTACTACTCAATAATTGTCTCACCCAGTTTTAGAGTGTAATGCTCCAACATCTTGAAGATACATGTCCTCTCTTGAAATGCTGAACTGTTTTGGTCGCTAGATACAACAATTTCCAGGACTGTTGAGATTGTGATTTGTGAATTGCTTAACGGATAATCTTTTGTCTTAGATCACCGCTCTGTAAAGAAGCCGATCTTGCATCCAGGAATGTTGTACATGCAGATTCCAACCAATAATCGTTCCCCAGGGCCCGTGTATTAATATACAAATACTGGTAAACAACAAAGCGGACGTTGTGCCACGTCCACGTAGAGCTTTTCGTTGCCCTAATGTCTGTAGGTGCGTGCTGGGTACCCCAAGGTCATTATTGCGGATTGCAGAGATTTTTCCTGCTGGTCTGCCCGTCCATAAAAAAGGAGGGGCCTCGTGACGAAACAAGGGTGTGTGCCTTTAGCGAATCTTGGAGGGGAGTCAGCATGAAGCGTGATCTCACGACCGCACGTTGGTTTAACAGCGTTCACTTCACTGAAGTGACTTCAATATGATGTGATCCTTGGGCAGTGTACGCTTCAACAAGGTTAACATGCATTCGTAAAATGAGAACCAAACGCCAACCACATCGAGCAAGAGACACGGCTGAATGATGAGTGAGCAATATGAGAACATGTTGCTCATGGCTTTCAAAGTCGTACACAGTTTTCAAAAACTTTTATGTACTTTCAATTTGAAACAATTGAGTTTTGTTTTGAAAATGGCTACAGGATTATCTTCAAGGTGAATGACGCTGCAGCGTCTGCCAGGACCCCTTCGTGTCCGTCGAAGTTGAACATGCGGAAGTGAGGCTTTGCTGCTCGCAATATCCACGTATTTCGTTCGCAAACTGTGGTGCAAGGGCACCAATTGGTTAAAATAGTAGTTTAATGGAAGTATACAGTGCATATTTGTATTCCCCAGTGTGATTATGGAAGATCGGCAGCACTTCCCAACGATGTCTGTGCGGCCGTTGGCGGCTCAAAGGCAAACTTTGCTCTGTGGATGATGGCGTCCAATACTAAAGTACAGTTGTAGCATTTGGTGCAGTTCAAGCTCCAAATGGCTTTGCAGATTTGCAGATCCACCGCCAAAGTGTCTGTCTCTGGGCAAGCTTTTTAGCGTCCTCTCGGGTTGTCCAAGTTCAGTTGCGAGTTTACAGTCTCGACAATAAACCCCCACTTGGCACGCGCCAGAGCATGATCGCGTGAAGTGGTTCTAGTTCTTTCCGCAAGAAAACTTTGTCCACAAAATCGATAATGAAAGTTAGCGCGCTCGTGTCGCCGAGCACCACCAATCCTGGTCTCGACACAGCTCAACCTGATCTCAGTACCACATCATCGGCAGACGAATCGGCGCGTCTCATGCTTCGGAAGCGGTCCGAGTCCGTAATGACTGAAGAGTCAAGCTCAGCTAGCCCCAGACTCGAGCCAAAGACGACACCTTCCCTCACAGACAAGCAGGCCATTCGACGAGAGCAATGTCGAGCGAATCAAGCGCGATATCGGAATAAGCAACTCAATCGAAGACGCGAACTCCAACAGCAAAACCAGCGATTGGAAGAGGAGATTCAAGGTCTAAAAGTGAAGCGACGAAGCATTCGGTTCGAGCGGAGAACCAACCAAAGTCCATGGACCATTATTGGAGAAGTATTCCGTCTTTTAGAAGACGGCTTTCGATCCCCCTGGCGATTGGCGAGTATGGAGGAGATGATGAAGCACACTGAGACGCGGCGGACCCTGGAGTTCCTGCAGAAGTCGTTCGTACATGATGTGGCCATGGGAGAGTTGAGAGGGATCAATGCACTCATGGACCAGTGGAGACGCTACTCTCTGTACTTTGAAGAGCCCCATCTTGAGCTCAAGCGAGTTGAGGCTGTGACAGCAGGCGTCGTGTCTGCAGTTGCCACCCTCAGTTTGACCATCAATGAGTTTACGGTGAGATGTGTGTTTCCTCATCTAAAAGTCCCTAAAGGAGGGAGAGGCAAAGTGTCTGTACTGGACAAAAAACTTATTGGCGAACGCCTTGACTGCAATTGCACAGTGACATTCCTCTTCGATGAAGCCAACGGCCGTATCATACGTCTACAACCCAACATCAACTTAGTGTCGCCCATGCTTCAGCTGTTTGGGAGACTAGTTGACGTATCAGTCGTACTAGGACAAGCTCTGCTCACATCGGAATGTGCTGCTGGGGATCTTCCTGGTCGACCACGACGTGAAAGGGACTAACACTAAACGGCCAAGTATATGTAGATTCTATTTCTGTTACTACTATAGTAGTAGGCTTTGAGGTCGGACCAATACAACAAATGAAGACTGGTGAACCCTTCGCACCGCATGGACACTTCGGCTTTACAGTCTAGCTCCGAATTCTTGGTGACTCATTTGGAAGATTGCTGGGACAAAACAGTAAACAGGACAAAAAAAAACAATAGTATCATTCCATGTCGTATTATCATTTTTTACTTCGATCATCTCCTTTACATTCCTCCTATTCATGTAACGGATATTTAGAATTCAAGCACCAGAAGCCAGTCATCATCGACGCTGCCACCCGAGGGAGGCCTAAAGTCCACACGCGTACCGTTGCCGCTGGCAGAGACGGCAACCGTAGAGTTAGCATAATACTGGCCGTCGCGAGGGGAGAACCAACGAGCGGTACCAGATCGCTCAGATCCATTGCCAAGCTTCAGACTAAAAGAATCGCCATGACCGGTGTACACGTAGTATCGGTCACGGTTCTCCGACGCGAGGACAGAAATGTATCTGGTGCCCTCGAACGCGTTCACAGCGGTGTCCAGGTATCCGCTAGGGCTACCAAGGAGCTGGCGAGCGGGCTCAAGCTGCTCCAGAGCTTCAATCGAGAGATTTTGCAGCGGTTTAGTGATGTACTGGATCTGGGTCGCCCCCTCAAAGAAAATATCCTCTCGCCAAGAGCTCGACGCGTCCTGACTGGCCGCCGGGGAGTAGTAATCACTTTCACGTAGTAGATTAGCAGCAGGTTCATACATTTGCCACACACTGTTGGCACCGTAAGTGAAGCCCGCGGCACCACCGTAAACGCCGTGATAGAGACCCGTACGGACCTCCGATGCGTTCCAGATAGGGAAGTTCTTGTTAAAGTTGTAGTACGCGCCTTCGTAATGGTTTTCAAGGTCCAATACGGGACCCGTAAAGGAGTCTAGCATAGTAGCGATAAGTTCGTAGTTCTTGGTCGAGTCCCAAGTCGTGTATGGGGTAAACCCACCAAGCGCTTCGGGTACCGCGTGGCCAGACTGCGCTCCGTCAATAGACACACGGAACTCCTCCTTAGGCAACATCCAGTGCGCATATGCCTCTGGGGTGTTCACAGGTCTAGAGATCCAGCCTGCAGTGGGGTGGAACAGGATCACGGGCTCGTAACCGTGTGCCGTCTCAGCGTCCTCTACACCAGACCGCATGCTGACCCAAATGTCCGTAGTGTCCTCAATTGGACCAAGGAGAGTGGCAGGGTCTACGTTAGGATCCGTCGCGTAGGATACCATGGCCTTACTGGTGTTTCGAGGCCACAGACAGTCGGAATCACCTCCGAGAAATTTGGGTAGACCAGGATATCGGTCACCAAGGAACTTTCCCCATTCATAGGCAGTTGACTCGTTGAAAATCGACTCCTCATCGTTGTGCCAGCCTCCGTTGACCCAGCGACCCCACACAGGCACAAGAGCGACGAGAAGACCGTAGCTTGCTGCCAGGTCGACGGTCCAGTCAATGAGCTGGAAGTACGCGTCGTTAGGCTGCGTTGTGTCCGAGTTATTGTAAGGCAGATCGCCGTAAAAGTTGGCTCGGGTTGTGCCGTTCAGTTCAGCTATCACAACCGTCTGGATGACGTTGAAGCCTTGCTCGGCGCGAGTCTTGAGGTAGAAATCGATGGACGTCTTGTTCAACTTGTGGGTTAATTCCCACGCGGTGTCGGCCTGCCACAAGAAGGGCTCTCCGGACGCGGTACGGGTGAGGTATCTTCCGTATCGTGGAGCCGTGATGACCAGATTGTGCCAAGACGGATCGGCCGTAGTTGTGGATGTTAGGCCGGCAAGCGACAACAGACCGGCGAGAGCGACTTGGATCTTCATCGTTGCTGGATGAGGCGAATCGGATAATGACACTAGGCAGAAGACAGTCTTCGGGGCAATCGTCACTTACGACTATCAAACCAAAGGTGCGTGGATGAGAAAGCGAACCGACATTGGGATTTGCGTTGCGGTTCCGTTCCCGCCTGCATCCACGACGCGAATGTTGCTGTGCTGATTGTTTATTGAAGTCATAACAGCCGGAGACGAGAAAGACTTGACTTCAACGAGACCTGGCAGTATCAAACGATGTCAGTGATCACGGTACATACCAAAGAAGTACAGGTACCGCCCTCCAATCCGTCCGAGGTACTACTCTCTTCCCTTTGCCAGGATATGAAGTGTAAAGGTTTTTCTTTTGATTTGCATTCAAATGCGCATAGCTGATGTATTAGCAACGACCTCATGGATATCTACGTCGCAGCTTTCGCTGCTCTTCTTTCTCGTCACTGCTGCCTCGCTCACTCTTGCCTTCATCGCAATTAGCTCTCTTGAGAGTACAATATTGCGCGTTTCCTGCAGGGCAATCCACGCCCAAAGCGCCTTCTCAAGTCGTATTGACGTCACCTTGACTAGCTTTCGCCTACTGGTGTCCTCGTGTGCGGGGCTCATGGTTTGCGGCGCCTTCCGAAGGATGTCGCTCACAGTACTTCTAGCTAATGGTCGACCAAGATTGTACGTTTTGGTCGACCACTCAGCAAGTTCGGCGTGCGTCATTCCAGGATTCTCACCCGCTTTCGCTATGAGAGCACGCTTATCTTTGATGGTCAGCCAGCGCCCCATGTTTGTTGCCGCGCAGGGATTCAAAAGTGCGTTTCCCGCCTGATTGAAATTCAAACGACCTCCAAAAATGCATAATATAAATCCGATAGAGGTTATGGCCGGACTGGAGGGACGGATTAGAGGGCGGAATCTGTAGCAAGGAGTATCTTACATGCGATGGTGCAAGGTACGATTAGTATTAGTGCTGTACTAATACGGTACCCCGAAATAAATTAAGTGACTGCAACTTTCGAGCATGGACACTGTGCTAGGTATCTCCGTTGATCCAGTTGAGAGCAATCCTTTCTATTAGCATAGCTATAGGATAGGTTTTTGAGTAGAAAAGGGTGAAATCCTTTCATACAGCTATGCTAATAGACGGGTCTGAAACCAACTGAACCAACGTAGGAACCTCTACAATTTCCCTGCACTGTAGGAGTGATCCTCGGCACGGTCTAGAGCATGAGCATACATACACGTTGCATGGTTGACGGAGAAGTTCAAGAGGGAGATCTGGTTGCAGCGTGCAGGCATTTACAACTGGTAAGTGCATCAAGGGCATGTAGATGGAGCTCACTTAATCGCCACCCCTCAACTTCTGTGAGTTTTAATACAGTCGCCAATGGAATAATATCTTACCGGTACTTAATGATGAAAGGCGATCTCGAACGGATAAATGACTGTTTGTACGACGTGGATTTGTTACGCCCTACTGTAAAAATCTACTCAACTATAATATGAGATCTGTTCTGTTACTATCTGTGAGGTGATCCATTGAACTGCACTGGACGACAGCAGAAGAAAAAGAATGGACAGTACTTATGGCACTAAACTTGTCAGGTTGGGAGTTTTACTACCAACGCTACTTTACCCTCGTAGACTCGCCAGCTTAAAACTCCAGTACCAGCAGCCAGTCGTTGTCGATGCCACCGGTAGTTGGAGGGTAGAAGTCAATGCGGGCGTTGTTCGCAGGGACATCCACGGTCGAACTCGCGTAGTACTGACCATCCCGAGGAGAGAGCCATGTAGCGCTTCCAGAGCGACTACTACGCGAACCGTCCCCAAGATCGAGAGCGAACGAGTCACCGTGTCCAGTGTAGACGTAGAAGCGGTCGAGAATCTTTGAAGCCAAGATGGAAATGTAACGCGTGCCTTCGTACGTGTTGACCGATTTTCCAGTGTGGTTGCTTGGGCTAGAAAGAAGCTCTCGAGCGGGCTCCAGAGATTCCAGAACTGCAGTAGAGAGGCCACTGAGAGGCTTGGTGACGTACTTAGCCTGGGTAGCGTCCTCAAAGTAGATATCTTCACGCCAAGATCCTGATTCGTTCTGGTTGATCTGCGCCGGGAACCAATCGCTATCGCGAAGCAGAGCAGTCCGTGGCTCGTACATTTGCCACACACTGTTGGCACCGTAAGTAAAACCCGACGCGCCACTGTATACACCATGGTACAGACCCGTGCGAATGTGCGAGGCATTCCAGATGACCTTGTCCAGATCAAAACTGTCGTGAGCTCCTTCATAGTGATTCTCTAGATCAATAACTTCTTGGTCGAGTCCCAGCCGATCGCTGGCGAGAACGTGTCGATAGAAACTCGATCTTCTTCGTTAGGCAACATCACATGACCGTACGGACCACCTCGGGTTTGACGATCCACATGTTGTTGGGATGGTAAATCACCAACGAATCGTAGCCGTGTTGACTTTCCGAGTCCTTGAGTCCACGACGCATGCTCGACCAAACAGACGAAGTGTCTTCCACGGGAGCCAACACGCTCACCAAATCTTGATCCGGGTTTTCATTGTACGCATTCTGCACCGCGGACATGTTCCACGACCACAGAGCGTTCGAGTCACCACCTAGAATCTTCGGCAAACCAGGGTACCGGTTACCGATGTACTGACCCCACTTGTACGCGTTCGACTCGTTGAAAATGCGGTCGAAATTGTGCCAACCGCCGCTCACGTACATGCCCCACGTGGGGACCAAAACGATCAAAATGCCGTAGCTTGCAGCTAGGTCCACCGTCCAGTCCACCAACTCGAAGTACGCTTCATTCGGTTTGGTGGAATCCGAGTTGCTGAACGGTAGATCACCGTAAAAGTTTGTGCGCGTTGTACCGTTCAGCTCTGAAATTACGACCGTCTGGACGACATTGTAGCCCTGCTCGGCACGGGTCCTGAGATAGAAATCGATGGACGTCTTGTTGAGGCGATGGATGAGCTCCCAGGCGGTGTCGGCTTGCCAGAAGAAAGGTTCTTTCGAGGCGGTACGGTAGAGGTACCGACCATAGTGAGGAACAGACAGCCAGGTCATGCCACGACGAGTCTGCTGCCGAGGCTAACCCAACCAGAGAGAGTGCACCAGCGACTGCGGATTGTATCTTCATCGCTGTTGGAACACTTGAATTGACTTGTAAAGATCGAAGTAAATTGATGAATGACACGAATCGTCTAAGATTCGTACAGACTTGTTGGTATTTTTTCGATCGGATCTAGTGGTGAAATATGACTAATCTGAGTGTACTCGTTTTTGCAGGAAAATATCAACAGGCATACGGAGAAGTGGCGTCAATAAAGCCCGTAAGTGAGTCAACGGAATTTACGAGCACGACCAAGTACAAGGCCATGTGAAGCCAATCAAATGGTGTCGTTGCTCGCAAACATCGATCAAGTCAGCAGCTACACGTGGACGGATTGACCGTCAATTGATAACGCAAAAAGTGATACCTCAACTTGAAGTCGCCAAAGGAGTACAGATTTCAAGTCTGATATTGTAGAAATGCATCACGCTAGTTGTGAAGCATTGAGACCTACCCACTTTCCAAGCTGCACATTTCCCTGTCAGTGGCAATTCTTTCCGTGCGTCTCCCTCGTTTGGCAGTAGCTATCATTTGTGCCAAGCTCTCGTCGCCATAGCGAGTCTCGAAAGTCGTGACCATCGCTTCTTCTGCCGCCTCATGGTTTAAATTCTCTACTACTGAACAACTGTGGCAACTCCACCTGATCAGCTTTATGTTTCACGAAGTTATTGTCAGTGGTGAGAGGATTGTTAGATTTACTTGTAAACTGCACTGGTAAGCAAGCGTCTGCACCTGCAGCAAGTAACGTAGAGCACTCGAAGTTGGTGGGAAAGGCAGCTTGTGCTGCTGTTTGTATTTTGTGAAGTGAGCTCTAGCATTCTCTCTCTCTTTCTTCGTCTAGCTCAATTTCCATCACATATTTTCTCACTACTTTCCTCACATTTTCCAACTGCCTCAGTGACACACCCTCAACAACAAAGCCTTTTAGTCGGGTCGGCACCAACCGTGAGCATCACAACAGATTTCAACTTGGTCTTTGCATTCTCAACGGGTGTCTGCAGTTTCTTCGCCCCGGTTTGAGTAAGATATTTTATCTTCGTAATCCCAGATATTACTCTGTCTTCACCGCCGTAGTTGTCTATTGCCGCCCTCAAGCGCCGGTTAGTTCGAATATCTCCGGGACTACCTGGATCAGTCGGCTTTAAACTGGCAACTTCGGATACCATCCCGAGAACGGATACAATAGATAAAAATAAGCAACTACATTTAGACTTGACAGACATCTTGATAGGTGGGACTCGATGCCGAATTGAAAGTGGGCATGTAATATTTGGCCTCAGTTTGTACCAAGACTGAATGGCGATAGCACATCCCTCATTATTAAAGCAAAGTGTGGACATCAACTTGCTGCAATATCAATATACTGCTTTGTTTGGCAGAAAAAACTAAATGAAGCTAGGCGAAATCATACTATTTTAATGCAAAAATCAAACCGTATAATCAAGACGTTAGCGGTGGATCGTAAAAATAAAATTGCGGGGAAAGAACGAGGTAACCACACGAACGAAGAAATTACAGTATTAAAGGGGCTCTCTATCCGCGTTCGCACACTAGTCCTGGTATCGCTGGGTCTTACTTTGCCGATAATACTTTTGCAACTAGCTATCTGCATCTTCTAACTGCGGTACAAGTTGTTTCCATGGCGAGGACTTAGTCGTATGGGGAAAAGTGTTTGTTTGCCACACCAGCCGTGATGAAGGGCGTGGTGCGGCGGGTTATCGCTCAGAGGAAAAAGGCTTCTTCATTCTGCTCTGTGCCGAGACGAGAATAGTGTCGGTTGTGATACCCCTTGCGTCTTCCCAGAGAATGTTCTCCATATCATACAACTCTGTTTAAAATTAGGTTGAACAGAACCGTTCTAATTGGCTATCGTGATTGATCGAAAGTAGTTTTGGCGGACCAAATTGACGTGGTCCTCTCAACTTATCAAAAGTGGCCCGGATAAGATCGGATTGTGATGGCTCATTTAGCGCCGCTGTCGTCTGCCACAAGTTCGCATTTATCAACCTTGTTCCCTCGAAAGTTTTTTTATAGAGCGCTGACCCACAACTTTCAACTACTACGTTGTAGTATTTTTTTTAACGGTGATTCCAAAACAACTCAAAATGGTCATGTGGCCACTTTGGCCTCATACAAAATGCTACATGTAGCAAACTTTACGCATCATATGTATTCGAAGTAAGAGATTTTGAAAAACAAAACGCGTATTCTTTGTGTACTTATTATCAAGTACAGTATAAAATGCATTTGCTTTCACGCTTGACAAATAAATGTATTGTACGCGTTCTGCTAATCTCCACGTGACAGGACAGATCGCCACTCCGCAGAACGAGGGCCGTGGTGATGCAGCCAAGTACGACACGCACTAGTTGCGAAGATTACGCATCGATCTGGTCCCCTGCGTGACACCAAAGCTTCCACGAAGAAGTGATCAGCCCCCATTCAGCTTACTAACGAAGGTTTTTCTGGGATCCAGATCCAGTCGCCACCGATCCAGTGGTCCCTCCTGAGCCTCCCGTCAATGGAATGCAGGCCTTGTATACTTGCCACGAGTAGTCGTTCTTCAGGAAACGCACACCTAGCCAGTACCAGTAAAGCGTGCACGTGCCCTTGCACGACGAGTAGTCCACAGTGTAGTCCTTGCCAGGGAACTTCTCGTGACAGTTGTCGCCGTCAAGCACCATAGTATCGTCGAGCCACACTTCACACGGGCCATCGTGCGTGTATCCGGTGGAACGCATGGCGTTGCCCGCCGGAATGGGCTGCGGGGTGCCCTTGGGGTCCGTAAAACCGCATTTGAAGTCAGCACCATCTGTGACCGGGTATTTGGCGTTGTCCAAGAAGTCACGAAGCGACTTGTAGCCATTCTCTTTGCGCCAGGCTGTAAAGTCCTCCTGGGTCGTGAAGCCTTCGTTTTCGAGGAAAGCGAGCGGGTTATACTTGGTTTCTTTGTCGTTGGTCGTCCACTGGGGCTCAGGCAACAGCACGATCTGATGTGCATCAACAGTTAGGGCCAGGAGGGCCATGCTCGATAGGGTGGCAGCGACGCCTAGCGTTGATACAAGCGAATAAACCATTATACACAAGGGCGTCGGAATAGGCGGTCAGACTACAGAACGCGATGTGGTGACTCTCATGATCAGTTGTCACGAACAAAGTCGCGTGCCTGCGACTGGACCGAAGATCTCGGTGGCTGTATGGCTGGCTCTCTCGCCTCGTTTTTCCATTGATATGAAAGTGAGATTGGCCGTTGATCATGGGATGTAGTGCATTCGCGCACAACTTGTGTTGCTGTATTCATGTACTTCGGTTGGTATTCAAGAGCAGACTGTACACACAGATGCATCCAATATATGGTAAGTAAGCTATTATATATCAATACAAGCCATACTACGAACCTTTTTGGTTCGTAAACCTAAAAACATTTTGCCTCTGTCCAAATACAACAAAAAAACTCCCTGAATTTGGTGAATTGAAAGATTTACTCATTGAAAGAACAGAAATAGGGAGGACATTAAAGGTATACTTACATGTAATTATACGGTTGATAGGAAGATTGAGTGCTCTATTATACTTAGTCTTTTAAAAAAGGTTAAAGTTTTTGCTTCATAAGGTATGGGGCATCGTAAACATATTCCCGTAAATAGACCAAAGCACATCCGACTTGCTATGCTGCAAAACGAGCGACAGCCGAGATAAGTTAGACGCTCTGTTATCTCCCAGATGTTGATGCATGGAGAATCGTGCACTGATGGCAGAAGTCCTAGCAGTAACGTCGAGAAGCCAACTGCAGTTTATTTGATGCTAGCCGTTCGTTCTACAAACAATGCTCTACTATTCAAGTGTTATGAAGAAGTGAAACTGTCTAACAATGCATACCTGGTAGTATTTTACTAAAATTCGCTTGATTTGAATTTTGGGAAGAAATGCGGACGCGAATGTGCGGTTGTTGTGATGTTGTAAATCGTCAATGCGTATCGGTGATCAACAGATCCTTCCGAACCTACATCTCGGGAAATTGGCCCATGATCCCCAATCATCCCGAAGTGAACTTTTTGTACATCGCTGATCCCATTGCTTTTCAAAGTTTAGCTATTTATTTTTTAAAGTTTCAGGTCTTCCCACCATCTCGTTTATATTATTATCCGTATTACAAGGTTTTTTCTTGGGCAGGCCAATTTTGAGTCCCGAAGTAAACGACTGCACAGTCGAAGTACCACCAACTCGTGCGTGATAATACGTGAACGAATATTTGTCAGGCGTCAGGACATTTGGCAAAGGTCGAGGAACAGTTTCATTATTAACTATCGGGCGAAGTTGTAAATGTGTGCGGAAAATCCGAAATAGAGTTGTTCGCTGATGTTGCTGTGGGGATAGTGCATATTATAGCGATGCGCTAGTCTCAAAACTAAATACATAAGAAGCAGCTATAGAAATATGGACTGTAGTTTCCATATGGGTTATCCATTTCACTGGATGCGTGTTAAATAATTTCACAATTTGCTTAGCCCCCCCCCCACACACACACACACACACACACTCCCGAAGTGGGGTTTACATGTCATCCCTAAATAAGGTTGACTTCGGGAAACCAGGATACTTTGAAGTAAACCACGGTCAAAGTGCTCGCAAACGAAGAGTCAGATTACGGCTAAAATATCGACGAGATTTGCTGTCATGCTTTGTACACCATTACACACTTCTACTTCGTACTAGTATTTCGATAAGCTTTGACAAAGTCAAGTACCCAAACGTAGCCCACCAGCGGCGAGGCATTGGAAAGTGGAATGCATCTTTCTCAAGATACTATGCACTGGTATATTCGATTATCAAACAACATGTGCTTCCTTAAAAGGGCTAAAACAAATCCAGGTATATGTGGTATACTTAAGTATCGCGTCGACCAAATTATATGTGCTTGAACATCAGTAAAATATGTTAAGTAGCTCTCTTGATGTCCGCAAAGCCGGCTGGTATTAAGAATCTAAGATCACATTTGCTTCACGTAAAAGTTGTGAGATTGAAGCTAAGCATGTATCCACTAACAGGTAAATAAATGACCTTATTTATTATCTACAGAGCTCTTGATTGCATCATCGAGGGCATGTAGCGTTGGTTTTATCACTTGTCCATGCCGCAAGGGTGATGGCTCTTGACAGAATACGGTGGAAGTTCCACCGTTGAACCGAACACTACATACGCTACATTTACTGAGTCACACTGGCCAAGGAGTTTACAGATCGGGGTCGATAATCGGGACAGTCCCATCATCGCTTTCGAGTATCATGCTCTCGTGGTTCGAGAGCACGGTCCACGTTCATACGATCGACTTTGTAATACACCTGCCGTCCCAGCTCGTTCCATTTCCGGTTTTGCCGTCTGTACAGCAAACCTTTAGGTCTCGACGTCTTCAATGGTTTCCTCGCTGTTATCAACGCTTGCTGTCGCTTCGACTCTGTCGAGCATGGCGCTCTTGGCCCCAATGGCTGATGCACACCAGATTGTGCTGCTCCCGGAGCCTCAATGGACGACGAATGACAAGGACACCAAGTATAACCCGTTGGCATTCCTTGAGAACCAGGGCTTCAAGACGCAGGAGGACTTCAAGTCCTGGCGTGACGAGAACGGCTACAAGTCGCTTCGCGACTTTATGGACAGAGCAAAGTACGAAGTGACCAGCGGCGCTGACTTCTCCTGCGGTTTTACGGACCCCAAGGGCACCCCGCAGCCCATTCCGGCGGGCAACGCCATGCGTTCCACCGGATACACGCACGATGGCCCGTGTGAAGTGTGGCTCGACGATACTATGGTGCTTGACGGCGACAACTGTCACGAGAAGTTCCCTGGCAAGGACTACACTGTGGACTACTCGTCGTGCAAGGGCTCGTGTACGCTTCGCTGGTACTGGCTGGGTGTGCGTTTCTTGAAGAACTCGTACTCGTGGCAGGTGTACAAGGCGTGCATCCCGCTCACCGGAGGCGCAGGAGCGCCCGCGGGATCGCTGCCGGCTGGATCTGGCTCGCAGAAGGCTGAATCGGGATCCCAGAAGAACCTCCGCATGTAAGTTACAGCGGATTTGTTTCGGGTTTTCCACGGTAGTTTTTGTGTAATTGAGGTATGCTAGTAGCGATGAGAAGCTGCGAGTTGAGCCTCGGTAATTCATTTTTCCTGATTGTATACGACTTGACCTGCGTTCTAAGTGATTAAGGTTGTTGAGGAGTACGTCAACGTGCTCGCGTTTCAAACAATGTGTCGTAATCTCTTCAGTTATTGCTACTGTTAATTTTTTGCTGGTGGAAAATATGGTGAGAAGAGTTGATGGCATCCACAGGCAGATTTCGCTTGAACCGGATGGTAAACGCTCCAACAGACCTAGAAATCCATCCATTCTTCTGCAAAAGTGATGATCCATGCAGTAATAGCACAGACCAAGATAACAAATAGCGTTAGAAGCCACCACAATATCCCAAACATATTTTAATAGTACGACAACGAAAAAGTGTATTTTAGCGACTTAGAATCGCAACTCACAAACACATACATGGGTCTAGCCTGGTGCTTTGGTCAAGCCTCTCTTAGTTACGCAGGCTGCGTTGGCCCCACGTGGGTGAACCCCAGGTCGTAGGAGCGTTTCCACCCCACGAAGGCGTCTCCGCAGCGGGCGCTTGAGACTCAGGGGCTGGCGTCGCTTGCATCGTTCTCTCTGTCCCCTGAGTGCCAGATCCCGACGTCGTCGGTGTCGCCTCGCCCGAGCCTGAAAGCGGGATACAGGCCTTGTACACCTGCCACGAGTACTGGTTCTTGAGGAAGCGAATACCCAGCCAGTACCAACGGAGCGTGCACGTGCCCTTGCACGACGAGTAGTCCACAGTGTAGTCCTTGCCAGGGAACTTCTCGTGACAGTTTTCACCATCAAGCACCATAGTATCGTCGAGCCACACTTCACACGGGCCGTCGTGCGTGTATCCGGTGGAACGCATGGCGTTACCTGCCGGAATGGGCTGCGGGGTGCCCTTGGGGTCCGTAAAACCGCAGGAGAAGTCGGCACCGCTGGTCACTTCGTACTTTGCGTTATCCATGAAGTCACGAAGAGATTTGTAGTTGTTCTCATTGCGCCACGATAGAAAGTCCTCCTGCGTCTTGAAGCCCTGATTCTCAAGGAACGCCAACGGGTTGTACTTGGTGTCCTTGTCATTAGTCGTCCATTGGGGTTCCGGGAGCAGCACAATCTGGTGTGCATCAGCCATTGGAGCCAGGAGCGCCATGCTTGACAAGGTGGTAGCCACAGCGAGGGCAGGCACGACGGAGTGAACCATTTGAATCCTTGAGGGTGTTGCGACGTCAGACGAACGGCAAAATGAAAAGTGGTGGTAGCAAATAGTCGCAGGAAGTACGCCATGTAGCTTATGGTATGCGGCACACCTTCCAGTTGGTCTCGAGTCAGCACTCGTAGCATACAGATGTATTGACCACCGTCGCCATGTTTCTCCATGATTCGAAAGAGAGATTAGATATTCAAGGTTTTTGAAGCGATTAAGCAAATACATCACAAATCCTGAGTAAATCCGTCAGAGCAAATGCGAACCCTATTTTAAGGGCATTCATCGCAGAAACAACCTGTTTGTCGTACAAAGGTGTGTCTTCGAGCTGTCCAAATACCGAATGCCTAGTGTTTCAACTTGAAGTCTTTCTGCCTTGAACGTTTTAAGACTTCCATCCATTAGCCTTTTCAAGATTTAGCTTCGGGTCCTCCAATGGATCGGATGATCCGTTCGGATCCATACGATCGATCGTTTAAACCACTTGTATCGGATACGTTGGCCGCTCGTTTAGCTCGTCAGAACGGGAACTCGTGGAGTATTTGAGATCTTTATCTGGAAAGAGCTTCGGTGCTTAATTCTTCGAGGCAACGCTGGTAACGCAACTTTAGCGCTGACATCTAGAAAATGTCTCGCTGAGTGGTTTGTGCCGTTCGAATTTGCATAGGCAGTATTGATAGTTTGTGGGTTACGAACATTTACTCGCAGATACCATTAAGAAATCGCGCTGCTCAGTTCATGTAAAGAACTAGCCACGTTGTTTTTCGGTGTGTCGTAAAGGGAATTGTAAAAGGTTTTCAGCGGGGTCATCGACCACACGTTTGGATAGGCAATTGAATAGTTTCACATTGCATTTAAGCGACTAACCAGGAGTCACCTTGTTTGTGGTACGGTTACTGAAGGCGAAGGCTTTTACTATTCAGACCTCTTCAAGATTCACGGACAGCAAAAGTTGCAACTGTGTTCTGACGTCATGAAATGAGCTGGTCTGGCGAGGTGCAATACATGTTCAATGGTATACGTACACTTCAAGTCCACGTAGTTATCGACCGGGTTGATAGCTTGTGCCCATTAAAATCTGCTTGAGAAATTAGCACAATTACCTCAACTATCTTCTTGTTCTCCCACGCAGCTCGAGCACAACAATCTTCAAGAATTCTTTCGAGTGATTGATCTCCGGACAGGAGGCTCCGGCACAGAGATCGACTTGACTATCGAGAGGTATCCGTACTATTCCACAAAAAAGATCGATATCGCTGCCTACACTGGCTACCGCATACCATATATACCATGTATATATAAGCCGGGCCAGATCATGCCAGTGTACCGCTACATAATGCAAGTCGTTTCTCGCTCGACAGTATTTCGTTTACCCTCTTCACGATTAAGTTCATTCCTTCGGCTGAGGCTTCTTGAGCTCCTTCTTAATACGAAGTTTCTCGTGTTTGATCTCAGCCATCAGCTGGTTGTACATGCTGGGGTCGATCTGGTCCTTCTGCGCCATAAAGTTGCCTTCCACCTCACGAAGCGAGTCCAGGCGATCCTGCATTTCTTCGCGCGTCAAGCGCTTCGGCTCGTTCTTGTCTGCAGCGCCACTTTGGTCTTCCAGTACACCGCAGTTGATGATCTTGACGTCGGCCATGGGCTTGCCAGAGCGTCGTCCGCAGCTCGAGATGATGTCCACGACGTCCATACCTTCCAACACACGTCCAAACACAACGTGCTTGCCATCTAGCCATGGCGTGTCACCCGTGCAGATGAAGAACTGACTGCCGTTCGTGTTAGCGCCAGCGTTCGCCATACTTAACGTACCGGGACCAGCATGAGGCACACTCAGGTCTTCATCGTCAAAGCGACGTCCATAAATCGACTCTCCACCGCGTCCATTGTGCTGCGTGAAGTCACCACCCTGGATCCTGTAAAAAAAATAATAATAAATAATCAGCTTCCTGAAACATTAAAAATAATAATCATCAATATCTTACATGAAGCCGGGGATGATGCGGTGAAACTTGGAGTCCTTGTACCAGAGCGGCGGGCCTGCACGAGACGCGCCCTTCTCGCCGGTACACAGTGCACGGAAGTTCTCTACCGTTCGTGGCTGTACTTCTCCGTATAATCCCATGACGATCTTGCCCACGTAGTCGTCGTTGATGCCGATATCGAAAAATACTTTGTCTGTTACGATGAGCTCGCCCTTGTACTCGGGGGCTCCGCTTACAGCCTTAACGCCCGTGAGGTCTTCGAGCGACGGGAAGGGCCCGAAGAAGTAGCCGATAGCGTAGCCACCGCCGAACATAGCAGCCAGGCCAAGTGACGCCTTCTGCAGCGACGTGAGGCTTGATGGGGAGCTGGAATTGCCTGCAGATGAGCTAAACGCTGCTGTCTGTTGTTAAACAAAGATCATTATTGTGAGAATTAGAGGTTATGGTCTTTTACCGCGGGTTCAAAGTCGCTTGAAGCTGCAGAAATGAAAGCAAAGAAGGAGGAAGTACCTTACGGAGGATTGGAGCGAGCGCAGAACGTTGCGAGCGTAGCAGAAGCTGCGATGGACGCAGCAGCAGAGACGTCATGGCTGTCCGATGACAAGCGAATTGAGCCACACAATGTGTTCAAGAAGTATACATCGGTATACACTGTTTCTTTTTCACAGTGTCCGGATTTGAAACAGTTACCGATTTTTCTGGACTTAACTATCGGACAATTTAACCGTAAAAAAACCGGTACTAAGCGGGTAGATAAACGCTATGCTGTTTGATAGAATTTAGGTGCACCACACTGTTTGGTGTAAGCCACAGAAATGCAGACACATATCGACTGGTTGAACTCCAAGTTTTCATCAAGAGGAGTGTCATCACTTTCACTTTTTCTCTCACCTACGCTGGCATGCACCCATCCAGTCCCTACCCGTCCCGTGAGGAGCGTCAGCGGCAACGGGACGCTTTCCGCAGCTACTGTCCGGATCCGCAGGGCGTACACGTCATATAATGTAGCCATTTCTCACACGTCGCAGATTGCACATGAAGGGACACGAAGGCAACGTAACGGATTCGTACTAAACCTGCACGTGCTGTTTCCTTCTTGATTGTGGCTCATTCTTCACTTGCGTCTCGTCACATCATCGCCGGAGATTCTCATTCGCCATCCTGTTTCGCCGCAGTCTTTCGCCGTACGTGCTGATGATTCCGGCAGCTGTGGATGCGAGCTTGGATGACGACGAGCTGCGGCAGCCAGCGCTCATCTTTGACAGTCAACGAGGACAAGAGTCTATTAACACACAAACGCGGGGATGCAATGAGACGGATGATGTCAATAAAATTCGCGCTGAGGAGGAAGCACCGCCCCCAGCAGCTTTAAGTCCTTGCGGGAGTGTAACTCCACCTGCAGAGCCTGGTGTTCGTGTGGTAGCAGATCTGCTACGTGCTCCTACGGCGGAGGCTCAAAAGAGCCAATTGGTTATGTCATTTGGAGTTTTTATACTATCCTTATTGCTAGGTGCTAGTGCTTTGCTCTTCTACGACGAGATTCTCGACGTGACGGGCATTCAAAGCGGCCTCTTATTGGGATCAGTTGGATCCCTCTCAATGTGTGGTGTGATCATAATTTCGTATCTCAGTACCAAGTGGTATCGCCGACACATGCACATCTTACTCCTAAACTTGGCGCTGTGTGAGTTCTGCCTCGCGATTTCGTTTCTTTTGGAACCGGCATGGAACCGATTAGGTGCTGGTGTTGGGAGCGATCTTTCCTGTCGATGGGTACGCAAAAGTCTTGTTACCGATGCTACTGTCGTTGTATATGCTTCTGACTCACGGTCTCTTGCAGTTATCGACAGCACGAGAGTACCTAATCATGTGCTCTAGCGCCTGGACGACCTGCACTGCTCTAGATTTATACTACTTGGTACGTCACAGATCGCTAACAGTATATTTTGTTTCTAAATCATTAACGTGTTGCATTGGGCAGATGACAAACCCGTTCACGTCACCACGCCTGAATCGTCACAAGTACCAGGGTATTGCACACGTCACAGCCCTTGCAAGTGCTGTTATCATGTGCGTATCCAATAGTTTCGGATCTCCTGTGGCTGTAGGCAACTTCTGTTGGGTAGGAGCAGATACCCAGGCACGAAGCGACCACATCAGTTATAAGCAGCCAAGTGGATCAACCACCGGCATTTGGGTCTTCATCGTCACTCCTGCTACCATTTCGATGGTTGCCAACCTATACGTGACGCTGGTATCCTATGGACGACTGCGACGAGGCGTTTCTGCAACTTTACGCAATCGACGAGTATTGCTGCGTGAAGGGTTTGTGACGACTGTGACGCTGATTGCCTATTCAGCTGTGCTCTGGGGAGTATACGGAGCCTATTGGCTTACTCCCTCAGCTACACAAGCTCGGAGACTCTCTCGATTATTTGCGTTTTTGCTGTCATATCGAGGCAGTGTACCTTTCATTTTGTGGTGCCTGTATAAACGTCCGCAACACAAAAAGCAGAAATCTAGTGTAGTGGTCGACGGCACTAGGAGCCAGAAGCTCTCGAGTATAGAGGATGAGGAAGAGGAAGATGACGACGCTGTTCGGCCACAGATGAACTTGGCACTACTAGACGAACTTGTGTTTTATACAACCCATGGCATCGCCAAGGCAGTGAGGATAACCAGTACTCTTGGACAGTATCCACCGTCACACTCACGTGTTGAGCAGCCAGATCAACACTCTGAACATGGACCAGCACAGTACTCGTTCATGGTACAACCATCACCCGAAGATGCTGCATTGAATGAATGTCGGTTTACAGCGTTTCATCCACTGGAATTTCAGCGCATTCGTCGTTTTTACGGCATCGACGACGACGCATACCTTTCGTCTTTACGGTCCTGTACGACGCCCAAAGTCAGTGAAGGTGCAAGTGGCTCTTTTGTCTATTATTCATCAGATCGCAGCTACGTTGTCAAGTCCTTGACACGCTCGGAAAGTGTTTTCCTACATGGTATTCTGAACGACTATACTGTATACATTGAGGAGCAGAACGGCGAAAGCTTTCTCACGCGTTTCCACGGCAGCTACTGTCTTGAATTATATGGCCGTCCGACGTATTTCGTGGTCATGGAGAACGTCTTTGACGTGCAGCAGGGCATCTCGATCCATCAGCGCTACGATATCAAAGGGTCGTGGGTAGATCGCAACGCGCAGAAACCTCGTCGAGGCGCTGAAGCCACGTGTCGTCACTGCAATCTCAGCTTCCGTTGCGGTGAGACTAACACTCGTTCGAACGACAGACTGCGTCGAAATGTGTGTCCAAACCGTGCAGGGGCTCCTCATGAACCGAATGTTGTGCTTAAGGATATGGACCTCACGATGAAGTTGCGCTTTGGAAAGAATGCAGGACGGAAACTACTAGCGCAACTTATGCGTGACAGTGACTTCTTGTGCACACATGGCGTCATGGACTACTCGTTGCTTCTGGGAGTGATAGAAGTGAGCTATTTAGTGAATCGGCACAACATTCTGACCAGGGATGGTAGTGTATTTCTACCACCAGACAGCTTCACGGGTAAGCCAGGTTTTCCACGGGAACAAGCCGATAGTGAGTCTACAGGGAACTCAGAACGTGTCAAGCAGTCAACGCAGTGTCTGCGTGCCGCGGAGGTGGTGATCGGCCCGGGTTTCTACTACATTGGAGTCATCGATATGTTGCAGACGTGGAATTGGTCCAAGCGACTCGAGCGCTTTATGAAAACCGTCCTCTTTAGAAAAGACCCAGACGGGATATCTGCCATGCCTCCGAAGCCGTACCGAGATCGGTTCCACCGCAAGCTGCGGGAAATTATCCATCTCGGCAACAACTCGAGTATCGTACCATCCACGGCAGCCACGGTGGAGAACGCGGATGGATGCATGGAGGACATTGGCGGTGGTGACTCCACGAGAGCGGATGCTGAACTCGGAGATGACGAGTACGATCGAATGACACACATTAGACCACGCGGAGTTGCTCTTCCCGCTGTTAATCACATTGTGGCACCGACTAGTAAAGATGGTCAGCAATCGCGAACTGACAGTGAAAAGATACCCATGACCCCCTCTGCTCTAGGACGCGTACTGGGAAGCAGCTTGTAAATCTACAAAACAAAATAGCAAATATTCCAGAATGAACTCCTGAGTTTTCGTTTTGTTTAATGCTATCCATGTGCTTTTTGGTTTTGTCTTCAATGACGAGCATATGAGTTAGCCACCAAAATCACTTTTCGTTTCCCAAATCGACTGCTGACTAGAATACCTTCAGATCTGGACGTCTTTTGTAGAAGTAATCGCTGTATGCGTCCCAGATTCTCGTAATGTAAGGTTTAGCCTCAGTATCCCTCATGTTGACCTTGAGCACTTTTTCCATCGCATCTTTTGGCCAAAAATGTTCGTCGAACCATTTGCCAAACAGAGCATTCTCCAGCTGAGTCGCAGTTTCTTTTCTCGTCCCGCCCTTCGCTTTTTGAATCATATCGATCAGTGCTTTATCGGTGTGATACTTTGAGAGAACCTCAAGTGTTGCCTTTTCCCAGTCGTTCTTATTGGTGATCGCAGTGACGTACTGGAACCATGTGCCAAACTCGGACTTCGAAATAACGTTGCCCTTTCCCATTGTGAGCCGTAGTGCGCTGAACGCGCTGGCGGGAGATTGTCCTTCGCTCGCTAATTTAAGGAGCTTTATGGACTTATTTACCTTCGATTGAAAAAGCCCCGCCCTCTCTTCACCATTGTCCGATAGTTTGGTACTTCTCAAACGCCTTGATGGGAGGGTGCCACTGTCAGCATAAGCAGCTGGATGATCAACAGCCACAGAGTTCCGTGGAATCGGGTGCACAGCAGTCAATGGAGTAGTGTTCACCAAAAACGCAATGGTGGCCAGGAGGACCATATTGTAGATAGCCATCTTTACGTGCGCCTTGAGGAATTCTCGGATATTGCGTGTTGTGTGCCAAGAGCAAAAGTCAAAGTGAGCCTGGAAGTGCTTTGACAAATCCGATTCAAGCCGTACATACGGTACGTACCCGTAAACAAGACTTTTTATCATCATTTGTACGTGGGAAAGGGAGGTAAAAGTCGGTAAGCTAGCTAAGTAATAGCATTAATTATACTTCGAAGTGCGAAACATTGTCATTTTCAACTATTTCGTGGGATAACAAAGCAAAAAAATGTTTTTACTCTTAGGTTCATTATGGGTGGATTTCAAGTTGCAATGAGAAAAAAGGTCTGAAATAGACAAAAAAAAAAAAAAAAAGACGGTTGTGATCATTTTTCAGTCGAGGATTGGCCAAAATAAGCCGTGTAAAAATTTAATTGGTTGTAAAAGAGGCTTGTGATCTGACGAGTTTTGTGGTGTATTTTTCTTTGCAAAATGTGAGAAAAATGACTGAAAGTGAATAGGAAACGTGAAGATGGACAATTGTGTCGGGTAAAGCGCTAAATCGATTCTAGAGCAAGAAATGCGTAATTATCCCTTTGGTCTTCGCATTTAAAAGGGTCAGTAGGCAAATGTATAACCCCCTCTAGTCGACTGTAGCAAATAATATCTGTCCCCTAGACTGGTCATCTTTAATGGGTCAACATTATCGTAATTAGTTATTTTATCCATACGTTTATTCCTCCTTCTAAACTAACCCTTCGAAAGCCCTTATGACCGATCTTCGAATGACCATGACCAAGGTGACCATGAGCGAATGGCTCATACCAACCGTATAAGCCATTCGGACAAGCCAGGCTGGCCGAAAAAAATAGCACTAGACTAACCGAGAGTTATCGGTTCGCCTCTGGTTCCAGTTGTATGCCGAAGCCGTACCATCGCGCGGGATTAATCGAAGCCAACATTCATCTTGGTGGAGTATACTGATAATTTCGTAGATCAGTCCTTATGAGTGTTCATAACTAATCATAAGGAGGGGAAAGTCTATGAAATCCACCGGATTGGTACCTCTGTATATTTTCGCATAATGCTGTGCTTGTACTTCATTCTTCTTTGTGGAGTATACTGATAATTTCGTAGATCAGTCCTTATGAGTGTTTATGTTTCATAACCAATCAAAAGGAGGGGAAAGTCTATGAAATCCACCTGATTGGCTCTGTATATTTTCGCATAATGCTGTGCTTGTACTTCATGCCTTACGTTACGAGCACCCTAGAGACCCTCCACTGCAATGACAGATTCGAGTTCAGGAATAGACTGACAGCCAAGCAAAATGGTCCCACACCACTATACTTGCCCAAGCAGTACATAGTTTGAAGCCTATAGTGGTGTGGGACCATTTGGTCTCTAGTAACGGAAGGCATGAAGTACAAGCACAGCATTATGCGAAAATATACAGAGGTACCAATCCGGTGGATCTCATAGACTTTCCCCTCCTTTTGATTGGTTATGAAACATAAACACTCATAAGGACTGATCTACGAAATTATCAGTACTGTATTTGAGATCTCCTACTTCAGACCTTAAATTGTAGTGTTGTATGTACATGTACCAACGCATTTATGCACAGTTCAACTCAACTCAGATCATCTGAGCCATTGACATTGTCATAAAAAAATGTATTTTTATTTCCTTAGACACAATAGCATCAAAGAACTCGACGACATCACGCTTGTGATGATACGTAGTAGCGACTCTCTTGAACTGCTTTGGGGGTTTTCCGTTTCCCTTCGTCCGTGTCCTCCCTATTTGCTGCCCCCGGAGTCCGCTTTCGAGGTCTGGGATTGCGCGGAGTGCGCTTCATGGCGGGTTTCTTGCAATGGATGGCGGTGATGAGGGCGGTCCTTTGTAGCACATCGCATATTTTTTACACTCTGAAGTAGGAGATCTAACCTGCTGAGCTGGCGGATCTAAGCGAATTGATTGGCTAAAGCTTGGTCTGAATTAGGAGATCTCTCTGAAGTAGGAGATCTCAAATTCGGTATACTCCACACTGGGGGCGGCTTACCGCATGTACTTACTGATCGCAGTACCGACACCATTGCGACTACCGCCGGTTGCGTTGATTACGATGGTTACGCTTTGTGCATTTGTTTTCTTTTTTTTCTCCAGCACAGGGTGCATTGACATTCTGTTTCTTCTGAGAGGAATTCTCTTACAATCCGAGGATTAGAATGCACAGAGGTCCAGAGAGAGCTAGTGTGAATCGGCGCACCAATCAAGGAAAACCTTTTTTTGGGTCAAATTTGGTGCAGGTCAAATCTTACGCAACTCGCTTTTTGGGTCAAATTTGGATCAATTTGACCATCCGCTTGACCCAAGAAGCGATAAATTTGTTTTATAGTTATTAAAAGCGATAAACCTCTTTTAAATTGTATTTAAAAATATCAACGAAACATTAAATTAGACAGTATTTTTTTATTTAAATATGTGATTTAGTTTTTGAATAACGCTGCCATAGCTTAGTGGTAAAGATCTCGCTTCATAAACGAGAGGTCGGTGGTTCGATTCCACCTGGCAGCAAAACTCAACTCAGTACTAGTATATTGACTTTCAGTCACGTTAACTAGGGGGCTCTCACAGAACTGCACAAATGCGACCGACGGGTGCCACCGAGTGAACTTGATTGACCGCCAGTATGCTCAGTACCATGAGTCGGGCTCCCCTTCTGATAAGGATTTGGGATAAGTGAATCTCGCTAAAATCTGAAATCACAGCGGACCCAGGCATACAGAGGGATATCGTATCACTGGATAGTAGGAAATACTTGAAAAGTACATTTTAGTCCGATGTCAATGAAAATAGGTACCATCATGCAAAACCGTAGTAGAATGGGCACAATTTTTTTAATTAGGATCTGTAGAAATCAAATAGGTACCGTTCTGTATGTAGATCAATATTCAGGGGATCTCGAGGCCACGGAAGCACCATCCGAGGCTTCAGAGCCTGGGTCACTGACATCTAAATCCGAGTCCGAGTCCACTTCGAAGTTCGAATCCGAGTCAAAAGCCGGAGCAGGCTGAGCTGGTGTATGGGCAGGAGCGGTGGTTCTGCTGTTGGATATATCGTTGATGAGTCAAACGTATTCCCTGCTTTGAGCTTCAATCACGCTGATGAACAGGGTCACATCCGGATGCGCAACAGAAAAAGCGTCGTTGAGCGTCCTGTTGTAGCGTTCCAGAGGGTTGTTGGTTCGATTTACAATGTCTTTGCCCAAACCATTGGTGTTCCACCATGCCGGAACAATTTTTTTGATCCAGGTTGTCTTGAAGTACTTCCAGAATTTCGTCCATTTATCCTTTGAGTACTGAATTCCTTGGTATCCACAGCTACGTTTGATCATGCGTCGAACATCTGGAATTCCACGAAACACGATGTCGAGACGCCGGATCACAGTAAGTCGGTCAATACAACCGTCAATCATAGCCAGATTCACCTCGGCCTCGGTTATCTTCAACTTCAACATTTTCCGTCGCAGCGCTTGCTTGAAGTGAAACAAACAGCCCACAATTGTAGAATCAGGAAACTGGGTCTTGACGACCTTGATGAGTGCGTACTCAAAATCACGCACCACGTGAGCTGGGGCTAACTTCTTTTTGGATGAGACGAAGATTGAGTGCAGCAAGTGCTCGTAAACTTGAGATGTCTTCCCCGCGTACCAAATTGGGAGATACAGATCTGAAATTGGGTCGTAGAGCATCAAAATTACCAGTTGGTAAAAGCGAATAGGCACACATCGGTAGGTGGCATCGATGAAGATGGAGCAGTGTCGTTGCTTGATACGGTCCATCAGCTGCGGATGCGCCCACCCAATGATGCGATGTAGGACTTCATCTTCGTAGTACGCATAGTGAAACTGGAAAAACTTGAGACCAGCCGAATTCTTCACGTCGCAAAGTGGTTCCATCTCCAGGCGCCCGAAAATGTCGCGACCAAAGTGTTTTAGTTCTGGTCCTGTACAAACGACACAACTTGGTTTTTGGTCGCGCCTTCGACAATGACATTGTCGCCTTCGAGAAATTGGTCTCTTAACATTCTCCATACATCGTTAGGGGGTAGCGTTACATCACGAATCCCAATTTGGTCCGTCGCAAGCAGCATTTGCTGCTTCCAGTTGACGAAAACTGGTGGTGGCCCCGACGGAACTTGACGCATTTCTGGGACACAAAAATTGGTTTATGGCTCCCTTGCATCACCGCGCCCAATTGCGACACGTACAACTTCACGTTGCACTTGGTCCGTCGATAAGCGCTGCAACGGTAATGCTTTGTGACGTCTCCGTGATAATAGGAGTAGGAGTACCCTTGATACTGCACTGATCTTGACCCGGGGAGGTCGACAACACCGTCGGCAAGGTCGCCACCAATATCCCTGTTGACACCTTCAACTTGAAGACCATCATTCTCGTCCCTGTCGGAGTTGGATGATTGACTCGGTATAATAACCGTATCCACGCTCATGTCAGAGTCGTGATCAGAACCGTGGATGTCAGTGTCCCGGTCACTGTCGGATTGGATATCAGAGTCGGGACCAGAACAGTCAGATTGGCTACCAGAGTAGCGATAGTTTGAGTCGGGTCCACCCGAATGACGGGTGTCAGATGGCGAATCGCTGGACGAATGCTGGTCGGCAATCATGATTGACGCGGTGTGGAGGGGGGGGGGCAGGAAGAATTGACAGTGAGGTCTTTGGAGAGGGGTCTTGCTTCAACAGACCCATTATGCGATGATACACGCGGTCCTTGGGCGTTTTCATATTTTTCGTTTTGTTGTAGTTAGAACAGAAGTGCATATCCCAAATTTGTACATCCCAAATTGTGGTTTCGTAACGGCATTAGCTCGATTTATTTAGTATTGAAATATTGAACTGTTTGGATTGGTTACAACAAAGTTAATATTTATATTTACTGATCAAGAATGCATTATGATAGGCGATAAGACCCTACCTGTCTGTGATAATAAAATTTGACCGTTGGTTGACCCTTGGCGAGGGTTAAGGAGAGTTGATCCAAATTTGACCCAAAAAGCGAGTCGCGCAGGATTTGACCCAAAAAAGGTTTTCTCTGTTGCCTCTGAGAAAAACTCTCTTTAATGTGCGTACAGTGTAATTTGGTGCCTATTCGGTTGTTTGTCCTACAAATCCCAGAAGTACATGTATTGTACATTCCAATTTCTATCTCGTTTCCTGATGATGGCAAGTTGCTAATTGCAACCAACATTCACAATTTTCCGATTAAATTGGAGCTGGGTACTTGACAACACTGCTCGCTAACTTACCATATTCGTAGCATTATTCGCAAAATGAATTGGGCTGCTGACACTAAGATCATCACCACAACCGGTACATTTGTGAAAACACATGAGCCTTCACGCTTAGCATTTATTGCGTATATTCAGGACTTCAACCTAACCTAATTTTCACTTAACGGGCTTTTACGAATAAAAGACCCCCGTCAAACCTTCGATGCTGTCTAGCATTAGAAGCCCTTTACGATAACAAGACTGCAACGTTAATGCTCAACCAACACCATTCCAGGACAACTTATCGGTCCTGATCGACGCTTGGAAGCGCTCGGACGGTGTGGAGTACCCCCGCAATGGCAGCCCTTTTCCCGCCTCCTGTAGCTACTGTTGTGGTTGGGTGTGCCAAGTGTGGCGCACCCTCAGTCCGTTGTGCTGAACTCGATTGAGGTTGCCGATCCCACGCGCTGGTTCAAACGGAATCACAATATCTATGGGTGGAAGTTCCAGCAGTCCTGGAGCCGTGATGAGGCAGGAATGAGCAAACTATGGAGCGCGAGAGCGAGGACTCACTCAATCTCGACGACATCGATGTTGCGCTTGATGAGGTCGGCGTAGTGGAGTAGGAAATAGAAGCCGTCTACGAATAGAAGGCCCCTCGTCAAAAAATAATTGATCCGTTTCATGGGGCCACTAATAAATAGAATACCGATCACTATTCGTAAAAAAACAGTTATTTACATATATCAATGTCATATTTAGCAACGGCACACTCCAGCAATGGCTAGAACAGTCATTCTAGAAGTGATACTTGCGAAAATGCTGCCATACAACATGTATTAGGAAGTGTGAATGCAGTGTCCTGGAATTTTGAATGTTGGGCTGGTAGTGACCTGTTTATTTGACACCATACCGATATTGAGAACGGTTGCAGTTCACTTTTAGCCTCTCAAAGTTTTAGACAATTTCGGGATTGTTGTGATGTTGGTCAGTTTCAATCCACTGAGAAGAGTTTTCTGCACATTCTTCACAGTAAGCGAGCTCTCCTGTTGCGGCAGCTTCTGCTCTACTTCGATCCCATACCCCGCTGCGATGACAAAGAGTTAGTTGTTGCGGTTGTTGTATCTACGCATCTACGCCTTCTCTTACCTACTGTATGCATTACTGCATCATTACGAGTGCAGATTTATGTTACAACCTTTCACTGACAAAATGTTGTGATGCTCAGGCGGGCCAATATGCTGCGGAAACAGTCATGGTCGAAGTGATCTCGTCTGCGGGT